GAATGTCTGTTGCAATCCTGTCAAGAGTTTTAATCTTTGTCTGAAGATGAAAAGTAGCTGTTGGACAGTCCCTAGATGTGATCGCGGCCCTCAAGTGCAGCAGCGGCCAATGTCCTCATGCGGTCTCGCTCCAGGGGATGGATATTCTCGAGCGCAGCGTCAACGTCTCTAGCACGGTTCTCCATAGCTGCTGTCATTCCACTGTCTGACAAGTAACTCGGCGGACGGTATCCGACACTCTGATGTACTTGGTTCAGTGCTTCTTCGTATGTGGGCGTCAGAGGTGTAGGCGGTACTTGTACTTCCTTCCAGTGTACTAGATCCGGATTCAGTCTCTACCGTACAATGTCAGTTATCCGTGTCACTCATTTGTTTTGAGTGCTTACCACGCTCGTTCGAGTGTTCCCATATACAGGTGGGGGAAACTGAACTGCAGGTTGATTTTCCACATCGGGGCCGAAACCCGTGTCCGTTGCCATGTGTATCTGGATGGGCTTTTCAAGGACCAAGTCATCCACTCGTTTGTTCTGCACCCGTCGTCTATCACGACGGCCTCGAGCATGGCCTGCGACAGGTCGGCGTTGAGCCCCCGCCGCCGTCCGATGTCTGGACCTCTTTGGTCGTCGCATGAGCATGAACATGCGGATGAGTTGATGAATGAAGATCCCGGTCAGGGTAAGGATCAGAAGGATCGAGAGGACATGAAACAGGGTATTTCTACCCACGCCGGTGGTTGCAAGGACCAAGTCTGGATGTGTCAGGAGTTATATCCACGAAGCTCGATGGCTGCCAACTCACAAATAATCACAGCAGCCAGCAAGGTGACGCCAAATGCAAAGCTGATCCTTGCCTTTGCGTTGACATCTGGGTCACGATATGATTTCTTGGAAAACACGCTGTGTTTTCTGTTGCTTCGTTTCGAGGAACGGCTGCTCCTGCTCGTACTGCTGCCATTACGGTACGATTGCATGGCCTCTCGTTCGGAAGGCGTAGGTTCATCGTCCATATTTCGAGCAAGAGGTATTGGTTCGGTCGCCGCCGTAAAAGATGGCTGATGACGCGAGCTTCCTGCGTACATGTCTGATTGCTCGTCCTCGTCACCTCGTCGGGTTGATAGTGGCGGCACCTCTCCAAATCTCGGGGCATTCTCCATGACTGGACGGGGTGACACCCCATCCCTCGAGCTGGTAGGCAACGCGCCTCGAGCGAACATATCGTTTCGGGCTGAGCGACGGGACTGGGCCAGGAACAAGGGAACGACGAAAGTCTTTCCGGCGGAGTTCGGTGAAGTTGCAGCACTGTTGGAGCTCTGGTTTGACCTCCACAGCCGCGACATGCCGCCCACTGTGCTTGTCTGCGTATCCCTCTGTGTTTGGTGAGGATGCAGACCGCGTCTCTCTTCCATGGCCGCAGAAGTTATATCCTGATCTTTTTCTTTTCTGGGTCGCTTGAAGCAAACTACTCTTGGAGGAGAGGACGAGGAAAGGTCGATATGAGAGGCAGGAGGAGAAGAGGAGAGGCAGTGGACTTTACCGTCGTGGGTTACAGGTTGACAAAAGAGGAAGCAACACAACATCAAAGTGAATACACGAGCCGCGTCCAGACTCGAGTCTCGGAAACAGGACCATCCTTTTGACCAGTGGTTGCCAGAAGGAAACGGCCATCTTGGGCTATGTTCTTCGGTTCAATAGTGCAAGGAGGGAAGAATCGGCAGAGGAATGTTGTTGTTCTACTTGATGCGAGTGAAACATTTGACACCCTTTGGACCGCGAAAGACAGACGGGTTGACAGGCTGTCATTTTCTGTCCCCATTAAGCAGGAGACGAGTCACACATATGGGCGAATTGGTCAACCGCGATGTCGCCGAAAGGAGCGACAGGGAAAGGGAGGTCGACAGGATGGTTGGAAACAGGACGCGTTCTGAAACGCCATGTGGTCGTGTGTCACCGTGGGAGGAAGATGGGCCAGTCAAAGCGCCGCTACTACTTGGTATCAAGCCAGTGGGTCCAAGCTCTTGGGCTCAGAAGGGTCTCTACCTAGGTAGGTACCTAGGAAGGGATGGGCTTGTAGGCTAACTAGTGGCTAATGACTGGCAACCAGACCTGCTAGACCTCACCAACCCATCCGTCTAGGGCCCTGCATGGCCACTAAACATTGCACGGCCTCCCTTAAGCAGCGAGAAGACCCGTACAGGGGCCCGTCCCTAGGCGTAACGGGGTATCCCGCACCCAACAACTCGCATTATGACGTTCTCCCACCTCTTCTCCTCGCGAAAAAGTCCAAACTCGGCTAATATCGTCCTCGCCCTGCAACAAGCCTTGTTCCTTGCATCGGCTCGCTAGTGCCCACCTGCAATACTCAATGGGCTACGACTCCCTCGAACTAGATTCCGAATGGGGAAGTCTCTGCGATTTCGCGAGGTGCGATCTGCTCTAGGGCCTATATTGGAATATTGCTCGAGGAAAAACCACAGCCTCATGGATCAGCCTCGAAGACCCCTTGTGCGTTGATTTTGTTCGACACATCTGGCAACTCGCCTGTCTCCAGCACCATTCGAAAGTGTATATAATGAAGAGCAGTGTGCGGCCTTCAACGGCTTGCATGCCAGTCTGCACTCTCCCATCTATCACCCAGCGCAAAAATCATAGTGTTTTCTGCAGAGAAGTTCAACCTAGGCGTTCCCCCAAATTTTGGAACAACACTCAACATGTTCCCCATCAAACTGTTGGCAAAAGGCGTGACTGGCGCCTATGGTCTTGCGCGTGAGGCAATGGCCGACCACGACGTCAAAAAGACTACGACCGGTCAGACTCACCTGCAAGTTCCGGCCTCCACTGAGGCTGAAACCGACCTTTCGGATACCTCGTCGGTCGAGTCGTCCGACGGTGAGGCAGCGGCACAAGAACTCGACGAGGTTCAGCAGTCAATTGCACCAAAACCCAAAGACATTCAACTCGACAATGCTCACGACGTTGATGAAGTGTTGGAGGCCTTTATGAAAAGACACCCACCTCCCAACTATTCGCCAGGTGCTGGTATACTGGAAATGCCCGTCATCCTACCTCAGCGCCGGCCAAAGAGCAAGGAACGAGGCTTCATTCGTGCCTATGCACCGATGCTCCAGACTTGTGGAGTCGAGCAGGGCGAGTTTCTCGACTTTCTAGATGGGTTTGGAAAAGCGATTAAGGTATGAACTTCGTACCTCTTCATGAAAGGTGTGACCACATAGGCTGATTCTATTGCTCGTCTAGTTGCATCCGGTTTTTCATGCTTTCAACCTGGCGTGCGCTGGAGCCGTCATTGCCAGTGACATCATGGTCGGCCCCATGTTTCCCGTCCATGTAGGTGCCATGGTGATTCACACCGGCGTCGAGCTGTCAAGGAGACAATATGTGAAGTATGAGTCGAACAAATATCTGGACAACATGAATGAAAGCTTTTTCAAGCCTCGAGGCCTATATGCCTTGGTTATGGCATATCAACCCGACTCCGATGATGTGATGCAAAACGTTGACATGAATACCCACGTGGTAACCTCGATCGCAAAAAGGGATTCGGGACGAGGGAGTCGATTTGCCAACGCAGCAGGTTCGTCGAGAGAAGTCGAGATACCTGAGTCTGCACCCATCATCTTCCCAGAGCTGGACGATCTACCGGCAGGCGAGAAAGAGAATGCATTCAAGCGCAGCAGCAAACGACTGGTTGACTATTTTGATCGCCGGGCCCAGGCCAAGTTCGAGCAGGCGAATCCCGGATCCAAGCTAAACTTGTATCAGGAGAGGCAATTTGCGTCCCGCTTCAGCGATCCCAATCATCCCGCCAACAGCGGCAGTTTAATCGCTCTGCTGAGCGGCGGCAAAATCGACACGACTGAGACGGATCGAGCAACGGCTGAGAGAAGGGCACGCAAGCGCCAGTTCAAGGACTCAAGACGTGTTGCGAGGGGCCGCGAGCCGCGCTACGATATCACCGGTGTGAACAAGCGAGCTCCGCAAGGAGGAATCAAGGGATTGATGAAGTCGGATGTGCTGTATCTTATGATTGTGAATTATCCCAGTGAGGCGGAGTTGAAGGCAGCAGCTCAAGCTATGACCAACCTACGGTTGTAATAGAGCCAGGTTGATATCGAGGGATTTTCGACAAGGTGATTTAGCATGCCACTAGGTATAGCGAACTTTTGTGTTCTCCTGGTACTCGTGTCGAATCTCAGTGCCACCCCTGAAGGCCGAGCGGAACCGGCCCCTTTTGATATTTTTGTACAGGTGGATGTATTGAACGGTTCTGCTGGGTTTCCGACTCAATGTGACGTTTGATATCTCAATTGATCCGCTTACTAGGAGGTGATAATGAATCCATTTGGGCTCAAAACCTGCGACTCCAGGTGGAGGTCTTGTAGAAGTGGAAAATAGCGTGAATAGTCTTTCTGTTCTTCTCCCCGACAGGACATTCACAAGCCATCGAGCACCGAAGGTCATCGTACGAATGCGATCAGCTGGAGACGTCTCACGTGCAAAGGACTGGTGCAACCTCGCTGAGAGAGTTTCCCCTTTATCAAACCCGATCTGTTGTCATATGCCGGGTAGACGAAAGCGGTGAAACACGATGTCCATGTTCTCACCATCTGTAGCTAATTTGCATTTAGGAGTCTTCGACAACAGAGAGGTTGTCTCGGGTCTCCATGCAATAGTGAGCACCCATAGAGGCCGCGCTGCCACGATAGTATGCGCTTCACGCAAAGAATTCATTCTCCCTTCATCGTGAAAACGACCACTCGAGGCTGGCAGGGTTTGCCTCTTTCAGAGCATGCATTAGGCGGTTTCATCGAGAAACCCCAAGTCATACGATCGAAGGATGATTGCTCAAGCAGAGGACTGTCGAGAGGCATCTATATGACGCATCCACGAAGTCGTCACCGGCCTAACTCACCGAGAATGAGGTTGCGATCCGTCGAACCAGAGACAACTGAAGGGGTCAGCAATTTTCAGGATGGCACGTCAAGATCACTCACTGATTGGGTCTTCGGTAGGCGAGAACCGTACGTCGTTGACCGTTCCTTTATGCCCAGGGAGTTTATAAAGTAATTTCGCGGATCCGGCGTCCCAGACCACTACGGTCCGATCACCTGCTCCAGCACAAATCTTATCTCCTTTCGGACTCCAGCTTGCTCGTATCAGGTTCTTTTCGAAGCTTGAAGGAGCTCCGTCATAGGTCTGTACGGCACGGTCGACCGGAGCAAATGGTCTGATATCCCAAGTTCGCACGGTGGAGTCATGAGAATTTGAGAGTAAGGTCTGCGAGTCGGGCGACACTTCCAATGAGGAGATCGTGTCTTGGTGGCCACTCAGGGTGTAAGTTACCTCCATTTTGCGAGCGTCCCAGACCTTGATATCGTTGTCAATGCCACCTGAGTAGATCTCGTGGCCTTGCTCTGCCATGGCCACTGCTGTGATGGGAAAGTCTGTTTCGATGTAGTCGACTGCGGCTTTTTGGCGGGGATCCCATATTCCGATGCAGCCATCATCACTGCCACTGACTAGGAGATCTTGACCACGTCTGCTCAAGTCCAAGCAGTTTATGACCTCCTCATGACCAACGTGCTTGCGCATTCTCAGCCCCGTTTCCAGGTCCCAGCTAGCAATAGTCATATCGGCAGAGGCGGAGTATATTGTTCTTGAATCGCGGGACCATTGTAAATCCAACACAGCACCCTTGTGGCCAGTCATGATTCCATAGTTGTCGCAGTGACCATATGTATTCCAAAGCATTATTGATCGGTCCATGGACCCTGACGCGATATGCTGACCGGTAGGATCGAATCTGGTTGCGAAAACCTCCCCCGAGTGACCTGTCAGTTCCATGATAGGAGCCGCCAGCGCGCTGGTACGAAGAGACTGTTGTAAATTGATTAGCGTATCAACCAAAGCCTTGCTGTTTTGAAACCTACAGAAGGCACGAGGCTGCCATTTTGGTCTTTTGCGCCAACAGTGAGGGCCTTGTTGTCGTTTAGATCGGAACTAGACTTTTGCCTCTTGACCAAGGCCTGCGGCTGGCTAAAGCTGTCAGAAGCTTGTCGCTTTATGGATGGCATCATGATGAAGAGGCCAGCAGGAACTCGTGGGAGGGTTGAAGACCAGAAGGGGGCGATGAACTGTGAACGCAGTCAACTAACGAGTACAGCTACAATTCCACGACCAGACATCAAACAACGACTTCCAAACTTTTTGGCTCGGAATTCGGGAAATCAGTTTATCCGGAAGTCCGACGCCCAGCAACGCCTTGGCATGCTGCGTCTCCTGCTTTGAACTCAGCCACATACCAGGCTCCATAACACGTCTCTGATATCTTCATTCGAGGCAAGACCGAGTTGTCCGAGTTGTGGTGAGATGCTCGTCCGTCGATAGGGATATAATACCCGATTGAAATGGCGTCAAGCCAGAAAGCAGCCCGCGTGGGCGAAGAGTAAGCTGTTCCTAGAAGCGCCGACTTGTTCATGGACTGATCTTGCTCCTCTCAGAATCTGGAAGTGAGTGTCGCCCAAATTCAATGGTTAGCGGGCCTTACATGTTCCTCAGGACACGGGTAGACAAAGTCAACGCCGAGCTTGTCACGCTCACATATGGGACCATCGTGGCCCAACTGTGCACAGACTACGACTATGACTACACCCAGGTCAACCAGCAATTGGACAAAATGGGGTATAATATCGGCATGCGACTCATTGAGGATTTCCTTGCAAAGTCCAATACGGGCCGGTGTGGAAATTTCAGGGACACGGCGGAGATGATCTCCAAGGTACGTCCATTTACTCCGCCTCTTCAGAATGGGTTTCTGACCATAAAAAGGTTGGCTTTAAGATCTTTCTCAACATTACACCCACCGTCACGAACTGGACCGCCGATAACAAGCAATTCTCGTTACTGTTTGACGAAAACCCTCTGGCAGACTTTGTGGAGCTTCCGGACGACGGGCGGGCTCAAGATGAGCTGTGGTTCTCTAACATACTCTGTGGTGTCCTACGCGGAGCATTGGAAATGGTATCAGCAATCATGATGGAATGCTTATAACCATACACTAACGGGATCGTAGGTTCAGATGTCCATCGAGGCACGTTTTGTCAGTGACATGCTTCGCGGCAACGACGTGACGGAAATGCGGGTTACTCTGATTCGGTACATCGAGGACGAGATGCCTCCTGACGATGAATAGTGGCACCGAACTCCTACTATGGAGCCAAAAAGTGTGCTCTGGCAAACAACAGAGCTCAAAAGGATTACAAGGGACCCGGCCCAAGAGTCGTTTCTCTAGCCATTGATCCGGACATCACGTGTCACAAGCCCCTTTTTCTCGAAGGTACTACTAACAGTATCTACAGCGCTGGGGTGGAATTGGGGAAAGGGATTCACTATTACCCCTGAGAGAGTTTCAACAGTGCAAAGAGGGGCCAGGGGTCACTTTCGGGCAAATGCTGAGCGGGCACAGCGGTCAACTGGTTTGACCTGGCTAATATTACCTGTCTTATTGCCCAGTTGACTGCCTTGAGCCGGGCGTGGAATTTTTTGAAATGTTTGCTGCATGGAGATCTTGTCGAGGTGGCAGAAATCAATCGAGGTGAGGTTGTGGTGCAAGGCCAAGCACCCCACCATTTGTAGCCCCATTTCCGGCAAGGCGTGCTGCAATTTTCGCGGGACGTATCCGTAGGGCTGATGCGGAACGCACTCTGAGTGGCCAGACCGTGGTCAGAGTCAGAAATCATAGGCGGCCTTTTTGCCTCCAGGTGCCGTGTCCGCCTCTCGCTGCTCGCCCCCTACCCTCTGATCTTCTCGCCTGCGCCCTGACAGCAGCTCAGCAATCACGAGCCTGTTCTCCAATTTACTTGGGCTCTGATCGGTCTGCACCGTGCAGCCTAGCTAACCCAACGCCGAAACCTCAGCCGGCACCGGGGCACTGAGCACTCTCTATACCAAAAACCAACCTCATCTTTCTCGTTGCCTTTTCGCCTCGCCCACATCCACCACTACCACCTACTAAAGCACCCAGTTACTATCACCTTCCCAATTTCCCATCAGGTCATCTTTTACTTTCTTCCCTTTTACCAACCCCTCCATCTTCCCTGATAGATCTGGACTGCTATCAGCTCGCTACAGTACCTAGCCTACCGCATTTCTTACTCCCCTGCAGCCCCCAGAGGTGCTTGCGCTCCCACCGCATCCCATAATTCGTGGCGGTCGCGTTTCGTCTGAGGCTCCCGCTGCTCGACCTCCATCTATCGCAGCCCACGACAGCACTTAATCAGCATCAGCCATCCTCGCATCCTCTACCGATTCCTTCTTGCAGAAAATGAGGCTTCTCTCTATTATCTGAAGTCGCCGTCGGTTTGCGCGACCGACTCTCTCCGCACTCCCATTCACGAACAACTCGAATCATCATCTCGCGACCCACCGACCTGACACACTCCCACGACTGAGGTTCTCTCCTCTTCCACGCACCCTCACTCTCCTTCAAGCCCTATCCGCTTCCCTACATAGGCCCGTATGTCGATGGCTACCATGAATATGGCCGGCATGAATCCTGCTGCCATGGCGCCAGGCGGTCCTGTTGGTGGTGGAATGATGATGATGAACAATGGCAGCCCGGCTACACAAGTCAACATGGGCAGCTCTCCTGAACAATTGAAGGCTCAATTAAACACATACATCTACGAGTATTTCCTCAAGCTTGGTCACTATGATCTTGCTCGAAGCCTGCTACGTGAGGAAAAATTCGAACTCCGTACGAAACCGCCGGTCAAGCAAAGCCCCGGGCGACGTAAAGATGCTGAAGTGAACGGTGTTGATGGAGATGCCATGGATACCGATGTCAAAGACGATATTCCTGACGACCTTCCCCGCCCCCAGCATGTTACCGATGCCAACACCCCTGGCATCGGCTTTCTGTTCGAATGGTTCAGCATCTTTTCCGACCTTTTCACTGCGCATCGCTCAACCAAAATGCAGGGTGGCCAGGGCGGGAATATGGGACCAGCTGCTCAATATTTGTTTCAACATCAGGTACGAGTCCGTCGCAAGCCTGTGTTCGGCGTTATCCACTGACTTTCCGCAGAACATGCAACGCATGAGGGAGAACCAGCAGAATCAGAACCTCGCTCGACCTGGCATGATGCCCCACAACCGATTCAACATGCAGGCTAATCTGCGTGGCAACGTCGTGAATGGCAATAATATGGCTAATAAGTAGTGAGTGGGCATCGGTTAAGATAAGATTCCCTGGGCTGCAAACACGCTGACACGTATTCACAGCACCCCTCAGCAAATTCAGCAGCAATTCAAACAGGCACAGATGCTTCAGCAGCAACAACAACAGCAACAGCAGCAACAGCAGATGCAGCGTGAACAGGGCGACGTGGACATGAATGGTCGGGCCTCGTCGCCGGCGGAGGGCGAGAATGGTGGGTCGCCGTCCAAGAGACCCCGACTCGAAGGTCAACAGTTCAACGGTGGCATGATGCCTAATGTGCGGCCAGGAATGCCCAACGTGGGACCTCAGCCCATGCTGATCCAGAACTCTTTCCAACCCAACATGAACAACCCTCAGTTTCGGCAAAACGGCGGCATGCCACAGAAGCCCATGCAGGTAAGCAGCTCGTTAACTCCTGATGGTATCTGCGTTGACTAACCGATAATAGCCCGGAATGGCTAATGGCATGTTGAACATGGGCAATTCCGGATCACCTCTCATGCAGAACGTGGGCCCTCCGTACGAGAACAACATCCAGCTGGAGCTTTACAACCAAAGGATGGCTACCCAACAGATGCAAGGTGGTCCAGGTGCAGGCCAAACTGGAAACCATGCTCTTCAAGATTATCAAATGCAGTTGATGCTCCTTGAGCAGCAGAACAAAAAGAGATTGATGATGGCGAGACAGGAGCAAGACAATGCTGTCAACAGAGACGGCGGCCCAGGTGGACCCATGGTTGGAATGCAACCCGGCGGCATGTCACCATCAGGCAGTCGAACGGGCACTTCGCCCATCCCAGTTGACGGGATGAAGCGCACGCCACAACTCGGAGGCATGCCTAACTCGCCATCGGCGGGAGACATGGCAGGAAGATCGCCTGGCACAATGAACTTCATGAACGGCATACAGAGCACCGACTTCAACCCCAACATGTTTATGAAAGACAATCAAGGCATGGTCCCCGGTGCTCCCAATATGAGGCCTCCCACGGCTATGGAAATGCAGGCAACCATGGCTCGTCAACAGCAAAATCGTATGGGTGGCCAGTTTCAAGGTGGTCAACCAATGGTGCAGCAACCCTCTCAAGGTGGAGGACCGCAACCGATGGGCACGCCTGGACAACGGAACGAGATGCCACCTCCTCAAGCTCCCGCCGGGAACAATGCTCAACGCAATCAGCCTGGATCCCCCCAGAGTGGTAACGCTCCTCCAACCCCGTCCACAACGAACAAACCGAACCCCAAGAAGAAGGCCAAGGAGGAAGGAACAAAGAAACGTCCGGCCAAGAAGGGTTCAACAGCTGCCGCTGCTGCATCTTCGGAGAATGAGCCTCCTGCAACACCCACTCCTTCGACCCCTCTCACTCCAGTGCATCCTCCAGGTTTCAACAATTCTGCCGGCAAGGCCGGTGGTCCTGGAATGCCGAATCCCGGTCAAGCTCCTCCACCAAACGCAGCCATGCCGCCCAGTCAACCACAGATGCACCAGCCAGATCTTTCCCAACAAAATGCTTTCACCGACTTCAATGCAGACCAGAATTTCAACCTGGATTTCAGCAGTTTAGAGAACAGCGACGTTTTGGAAAACTTCGACTTTGATAGTTTCCTGAACACGTCCAACGAGGACACATTCAACTTCGACAACGCCATGATAGGGGGAGACTTTGGGGTTGACGCAACTAATGAATAGTTGGCCGTTGCAGGTGATGCTGTGTATCAATTACTAACTAATGCTTTGGCGTTACTGATGATCTTTGGATGCTCACGCATGGTTGGTTACGGCGTGTGCACGAAAAGAGCTCCTGTCCTTTTCTCCTTTTGGAAATACTTGCTCTGTTGATTACTATACCCGTTGCTCAGACGAAAATGATTTTACTTGCTTGGACATAACTTCATGGGTTGACATGTAGTTGCATTGGTATAGGGATGGACAGGTGCCTAATTCCAGTTTCACTTTCCAATTCTGCAGTGTGGCCTCGTCGTCGATACATAGACATCGCCATTGCCTCCATGGTTCGAGTCGTCTACCTATCCTTTCTGGTGCCGCCTATGACAGTCGCGTTGGAACTCCCTTCTAGGAGTAAGCTGATGTTGATGGCGACTTCTTTGGCGTTAGATCAATGCTCGCACCTTCTGCCACATCTGGCTGCTTTGCTCTTGCATTGGCAGGTTAATGGGGTCATGTCGACCGCCACTACTTTATGAAGACGAAAAGCTGTCTTGAACCAGCATGTGCTTCATATTCCACCCATACTCTGCTGTCTCCCTTCGATGTGGACTGTGGACTGAAATTGCACGTCCCTTGTCGTCATGAGGTACCAAAATTGGGACGTACTCCTCTTCCCTGGTGATTCAAGGACTCCCATACAGGAATTCAACACCAAATGCTTCGTGCTAAGGCAGAGTGAGTGCTACGCACCTTTGAGCGACAACGAGGCACACTGACTCACTCGTGCAGACGTGGATTGCTCCTCGAGTGATGCCACTGTCGAGAAATATCCCAACAATTTCGAGTCGATGACACTGGTTCCTATCCTCACCTCTTTCATTGCTAGTCTCGAGCGTGGCGCAGCGTTCCGAATTTCAATCCACAGCTGGGATAAACCCACCCCGTCTCACCTCTTGCTCAGCTACAAGACCCCCGAAGAAGCAATTCTGTTTGAAGCACGAGTGTATATTGATGGAGTTCTCGTTGCGTAAGGAGGCCAACGAAAGTCAATTCGGCCGCCTGGCTAATTGATCATACAGTCAACGTGCATTCGACGAAAATGTGTGGCCGGAAGTCATTGGTATGAAGAATATCCCAACCGCGACGCAAACCTCTTTGGCTAATGATACCGCAGGAGATCCAGGTTGTCCCCGTAAGTCCCTTGTGTACCGAGAAGGGGCTAACGGCACAGATCGCGATGCTCGATATCTCCAATTTCCCACGTTCTACAGAGAAATGCTTCAGCAACCCGGTTGGGATCACAGCGAGCTCATGGGTCGAATCCGGGTTGTGATCTCAGAAGGAGTTGTGAGGGACAACACTCCCCCGGCTGCCTCAGCTACCAGGTTTGATCGCCTGCGAGATGTCGTTGCCTTCTCCTTTCAGCATGCCCCCCAAGGTAAGTAGGAGTTGCAGCTTCCCTCAGTCTCAGCCAAATCTAAGACACCTCAGACATCCTCGAGTACTCGGGAATCGCATGGCCAAGCTTCAAAATGTTCCAAAAGCTGCCCAACAAACCGTCGCGGCCTGGACCGATCGGCTCTCGAGTCTCTGGTATTTCGGGCCACGAAGCTCATTCACACTCGCCACAGCGGTTACCTCCAATAGCGTCGCGAAGTAAAAGGCTGTCGACGAATGAAAATTATCAAAACTTGTTGGAATCACAGAAGCATTCAGAGGCCCAGCTCGATTCGGTCAGGAAAGTCCCCAACGTTAGTGTCTTGAAGAGCCAGTCCCCTGAAAGCCACATTCCCATAAAGCTTATGGCGCAGGATGATGACCCGTTCATCTCCTCGCATCAGACCCCTACGGCGATACAGCAGTGGCGGCTGCAACTGAGGTCAACCAGTCACGACGTCTCCATGCCTGATTACGCGTCCAGCAAGACCGATCGCAGCGTCGTCAATACCGAGATGTCGGGGGTCAGCGTCCCACGAGCCAACTTTTTGAAGCACATGAATGAGGCCAACCCTGAAGAGATTCTCCAAGCTCTAAGTCCTGCTCGCCAAGAACAATTATTCAAGGCCCTCAGCGCATCACATAGTCCATTGGCCGGTATAGGCACTCAACCACCAGCAAACACTCCTCAGACCACCAACGATTTCAACACTCCGAGAGTTATGCATTCTGGCGGTGCCAATGATGCCGCGACGGCAAGAATCTGGCAAGAACCGCGGCAGCGACGCCGGACATGTTCGCTAGCTAGTTCCCGAAGCACTTCAGAGCCAGTGGCACAGCTGATCAAAGAACAGACCAGTCCGCGACTGCCCCAAGGACCGAGTGCACCTGCAGAGGGAAAAAGCCAGTTGTCAGCGGCGCCGAGATCGCTTTCACTTGGCTTTAATCGCCAGAGATCAGCCTCGAATGGCTCAAAGCGCAAGCGGTGCTCAACCTCTCCGGGATTGGGCTTGGGTAAGATAGAGGACACAATTCAGGTTGTGATGTCTTCTTCTTCTTCGTCGTCGTCCTCTGCATCAGAAGGGGATCGAGACGAGTCGGCGGGACCAAAGTGCGCGGCGTCAGCGAGGAAATTGGGCTTCACTGTAGCAGACTGAAGGCAAAGGACAGGGCAGGTAATCATGTTTTAGCTCGACATTATTCGACAGGTATAAGATAGGTGTCGTTGATCTACCAGAGGGCCACGGGCAACGAGGCTGAGGTCAAGAGCGAGCGAGACAGGGTCTAGATGCATTGACACTCCGTCTGAGCATCGACGGTGACGGTATAATGAAGCACAGGAGGTTGAGATTCCTGAGGTATACCTATCTAGGTAGACAGTAGCATGCAATGGTTTTTATGTACCAAGGACCTTGTATGTACCAGTTTGCCAGTATCCAGACCATGGCCGAACTTGGCAAATCCACAAGCATCTCATTCTTTGATAATTAATTATTACCCCACAAATTCGGTTACTTGCGGTGCGTCACGCTTTGGACCTTTTGCCCCACGTTCAGAAAACTTTTGCCTCTTGCGCTCTTTGCGAAGATTGACTCATATTCTCTAGTCTCCTCTGTCCCGCTCTGAATGATACTCCCTTCACATTCATACTCGCGCTCTCTTCGACGTTGATTCAAACCCTGGTGTGGTGATCGCAATCGAACCTCAGATACTAAGCCGAGCCACTTCCTCGCCTTGCCCGCATACTTCCAGCATCCTCGGTTGACCAACTCTCTTTGACAGTGACGACTGGTCTCCGGTCGCGAATTGCTCGTTGACTATGCCTATGTATGTGCAGGCTCTATGTAAGCATCACAGGGTAGGACTAATCGACATATCTTAGGCTTCGAGAGCCCTGGAAAAAATACCGCAAGTTCAAGCCTCTTGACTTGCCTAACCGACAATGGCCCTCGCGGACCAACGACAAGCCTCCTCGGTGGCTGGCCACTGATTTGCGAGACGGCAATCAAAGCCTTGTTGATCCGATGGTATGAACACTCGCTCCGGAACCTCTCAACCCGCTGGTTTAGAGACTGACAGTCGCTTTAGGATGGTGAACAAAAACTGCGCTTCTTCAAGATGCTTGTTGAACTGGGTTACAAGGAAATCGAAGTCTCGTTCCCTTCCGCTTCGCAAACCGACTACGACTTTACAAGATACCTGATCGAAACCCCCGGCGTGGTCCCCGACGACGTTTGGGTGCAGGTTCTGTCACCCTGCCGCGAGGACTTCATCCGGCGGACTGTGGAGTCTGTAAGAGGAGCCAAAAAGGCCATTTTACACTTATATCTTGCTACCAGTGAATGCTTCCGCAGAATTGTGTTTGGCATGACTGAAGACGAGACTCTTGCCCTGGCTGTCAAGTGTACCAAGTTTGCGAGATCCATCACGAAGGACGATCCTAGCCACGCAGGTACAGAATGGCTCTACGAATTCAGCCCCGAGACCTTTTCAGATACGTCGCCCGAGTTTGCGGTACGAGTGTGCGAAGCGGTAAAAGAAGCGTGGGAGCCGACCGAAGATAGCAAATTGATTTTCAACCTCCCCGCCACGGTGGAAATGGCCACACCAAATATATTCGCGGACCAGATCGAATACTTTTGCACCCATATGACCGAGCGTGAGAAATTTTGTGTCTCGGTGCATCCTCACAACGACCGAGGCTGTGCTGTAGCAGCTGCAGAGCTGGCTCAGATGGCGGGTGCTGAAAGAGTCGAAGGCACTCTATTCGGCAATGGGGAACGAACCGGGAATGTTGATCTCGTTACCCTGGCTCTCAATCTGTATACGCAAGGTGTCTGGCCCAATGTTGATTTCAGTGACATCAACAAAGTCATCCGCGTCTGTGAAGAATCAACAAAGATACCCGTCAATGAGCGGTGGCCTTATGGTGGCCAGTTAGTAGTTTGTGCCTTCAGCGGCTCACACCAAGACGCTATCAAAAAGGGGTTTCAGCTTCGGAAAAAGGAAGGTCGTGGTGCTGAGGATCCATGGGAACTGCCCTACCTGCCACTCGATCCTCAGGACATCGGACGTACATACGAAGCCGTCATCAGAGTCAACTCACAGTCTGGTAAAGGGGGTGTCGCCTGGATTATCCAACGCAGCCTGGAACTGGACCTGCCCCGCGGGTTGCAGATCGCATTCAGCAAGATTGTGCAAAAAGAAGCCGATGCCAAAGGTCGAGAGTTGCTTCCTCGAGAAATCCAGGCCCTGTTTGAAGAGTCGTATCATCTCAGGAAGAATCCGCGATTTACTCTCATCGACTACAACATCACAGCTGTTCGGACTCCCTCACCAGCGCCCCAGACGAAGATTTCGGCAGGCCAGCCACCCCAGACAACGGCGCCGGCCCAAAATACCTCGACTGCCAAACGACAGTTTGCAGGTATCATTGCCATTGATGGAGTTCAGCACCCGATCGTGGGGGTGGGCAATGGTGCCATTTCCTCCCTCGCCAATGCTTTACATTCCTTGGGAATTGATCTTGATGTGGCGGATTACAAGGAGCACGCCATTGGTGAAGGGAGAGAAGTGAAAGCTGCTACGTATATAGAGTGTACGGCAAGCAACTCGAGCGAGAAAGTATGGGGAGTTGGCATACATGAAGATGTGGTCCAGGCATCCTTGATCGCGTTGTTGAGTGCAGCAAGCTCGGTATGTCTCACCCCCCACAGCGAAGCGCGTTTTACCTGGAATCTGAAAACAGAAAGCTGACTCTCAAACTCGGCAGTTCTTGACATCGCGGGTTTCCACGCCGGTCCCTTTTAAACCTAAGCACCTGAGGCAGTTTTCTGAAGCGGAACTCGAAGCTTTGGAGCGTCTGAACCTGAACAATGGCTCCGACAGCCCTAACAGCCCATTGAGATCGTCCGTGACTGCAACAGAAGGAGGTGTTACACCGTCTAAATTGAACAAGGAGACGAATCCAAGCAGCGTTGCCGCGAACAAGATTGACATCGACTTGCTGGAACAGAAGGCTGAGTCTGTCAATGGGCACGTCGTCGACCCCTAGTATGTCTGGACAAGTGCGCACGGCCATTTTCCTGAGGGCCACGGTTCCATTTGCATGAAAACTAAAAACGGGGGGTAATGGGGGTTAATTAGGCCACTTCTAGTGGGTGATTTACCAAAAAAGAAAGTGGGTTGATTATTTGTTGTATAGCCAGGATGGATGCGCCTTGGACACAAATCTGATATTGGGCTGCACCAGCGGTGATCACCCCCCTGCAACATTTGCACGATTTACCAACAATTCCTCTTAGAGACCTTGAACCTACCCCAGATCTGTCTCCAGGTGCGATGTGCACATGCTCGCGGCCTCTGAATTTCGACCCTCGGATGTGTTGTGGCACATCACATGTTTTCCATTTGTGTTTATTCACCTGCCTCGTCCAGTCTGTATAAGCCGGGGCTAACTGTCTAGGTAAGTACTAAAATTGAAGTGCCTCTAGAGGGGCTTGGGGGTTCGCCCCCATAGACACCGAGGAGGCGCCCAATAGCTTGCATGGGGGTATAGGTCAAGCTCAGGAGACCCAATCGACCACCGCCCGATTCGCTTAAAGCCGCCCTGAGGTCGGGCCATCAACACCGAAATGCATCCCTCTGGTCCCCCCACGCGGATTTCCACTCGTCCCAAAGGCTCCGTTGATGCCGTGCAGTGAACCATGACGACGGCCATGCAGCGGGCTTCATGCACATCCATGCCTCTCCGCTGCGCCCATCAGCCATTCACCCTTTGGCGAGGGACACACGGGACTCTCCCCCTTGGGCTCTTCCCCTTCATGACAAGTCCGAAGACTTCTTCTCACATGCCTTTGGAGTTGTATCTCGGCTTCATTCCAGCTTCCTTTTCTCAAGTGTGAACCGTGCACTACCTGACAAACTGGTTGTCTAGTATAACTTGGGCATCGATGCCCTACCCACCTCTTCAGCCTCAATTGTTCATGAGCATTCCAAAGCTTTGAGCCCTAGCTTTGTGGCATTCCACCATCTCTTTTATGAGAAGTCGGATCATGGGTGTCCAGAAGAAGTGGCATTGATCACTGTGGTCGTCAATTGTTGAAGTTACAGCCCTCTCCGCGCAGTCCATCACTGTTGAACGATTGATCCGCGCAGTGGACGCCAGACTGGACCTCGCATTATAGAAACCATGGCCTCGGCCGGTCGCTCTCCTTCCGCACGTCGTTTCCTCAAACCACTCCTTTATTCTGGTGCTGCGATCGCCGGGATTGGAGGCACCATATTGTACCTCTCCTACCGTCCCATCAATGTTCCTGGCTCTCAAGGCGCCATCGTCCCCATCCCGCGAACAGAGGACGGCACGATCATCCCTCCCAAGTTCCCCTTGATCAAGCCCCGTGCGGAACAGATCGCCGACCTCAGGAAGAGTGGTGGACTGGTGGGCGCCGCAGCGGAAACGCCCATCCGGCAACAGTTGAAGAATAGTTTAGACCGATTAAGAGGCGCAACAAGTGGCGATAGCGACACGAGCTTGCCAGCGGAACAAGAAGCTGGGGAGCCATACGATCTCTTGGTCATCGGGGGAGGGGCAACAGGTTCAGGCATTGCGCTGGATGCTGCTACTCGTGGTCTCAAGGTTGCCTTGGTCGAGCGCGATGATTTTGCGGCGGGGACAAGTAGTAAGAGCACGAAACTTGTGCACGGTGGTGTACGATACCTTGAAAAGGCGTTCTGGGAGCTGGACTACAATCAATATGCTCTGGTCAAGGAGGCTCTGCGTGAGAGGAAATATTTCCTCGACACAGCCCCTCATCTATCCATGTGGCTTCCTATCATGATACCTTTGCAGAAATGGTGGCAAGCACCGTATTTCTGGGCAGGTACAAAGCTTTACGACTATCTGGCAGGTAGCGAAGGCATTGAAACCAGCTACTTCTTGACCAAGAGCAAGGCCCTGGACGCATTTCCGATGTTGAGAAAAGAGAATTTGGTGGGAGCGCTGGTGTACTATGATGGCGCGCACAACGACAGTCGCATGAACATTTCCATTGCGGCAACGGCTGCGCTGTACGGTGCGACTGTGGTCAACCATATGGAAGTCACCGGCTTGACCAAGGACCAGAATGGCAAACTGAATGGTGCTGTTGTTCGAGATGTGATTGCCGAAAAGAATGGCAAGCCGGCGGCGCCTTTTACGATACGCGCCAAAGGCATCATCAATGCGACAGGGCCTTTCTGCGACTCGATACGAAAGATGGACGACCAGAATGTCCAGGAAATTGTTGCTCCTAGTTCTGGTGTCCACGTGGTGCTCCCGGGATATTACAGTCCGCAGAGGAACTCGATGGGTCTGATCGATCCTGCAACGTCGGATGGCCGTGTCATCTTCTTCCTCCCCTGGCAAGGGAACACGATCGCCGGCACGACCGACGCCCCCTGTAAGATCACCCAGCATCCGATCGCTGGGGAGGAGGAAATCGGCTGGATTTTGAACGAGATCAAGGGATATCTGTCCCCGGAGATCAACGTCCGACGTGGTGATGTGCTTGCCGCCTGGTCGGGGATTCGCCCGCTCGTAAAAGATCCCAAAGCTAAGAATACCGAGTCATTGGTGCGAAATCATCTAGTGACAGTCTCGACCTCAGGACTGCTCACCTGTGCTGGTGGTAAATGGACAACATATCGTCAAATGGCAGAGGATGCGGTCGATGAAGCTATCGACCAATTCGGGCTACAGACAAGGCCACTAACAACTCCGACGAGAATTAGTGGGACTGAGAAGATGGACGACGCTGCTCCGCTCGATGGGACTTGCCAAACACACCAAGTCAGGCTTGTTGGTGCCCATGGATTTTCCAAGACTCTGTTCATCAATCTGATTCAACATTTCGGTCTCGAGACCGAAGTGGCAAAGCATCTTGCGGAGGCATATGGTGATCGTGCATGGACTGTGGCAGCACTTTCAAGCCCGACCAACGAGAGGTTCCCAGTGCGAGGAAAGCGTATTTCGGCGCTTTACCCATTTATAGATGGAGAAGTACGGTACGCAGTCAGACACGAATTCGCGCAACGAGCCGTGGATGTGATTGCACGAAGGACAAGATTAGCATTCCTGAACGCCCAAGCGGCGTTGGAAGCCTTGCCTAATGTTATCGATTTGATGGCCGAAGAGCTAAAGTGGGACAGCAAGAGGAAAGACATCGAATGGAAGGAGAGCGTGGCTTTTCTGGCCTCGATGGGCCTCCCACGGAGCAAGTTGAATGTCTCGAGAAAGGATGTTGAGAGTGGAAAAGCCGGGTTCGCCGACGAATACGAGAGGAAGCTTTATTCAAGATATGGTAAGCCAAGGGCTGTTGGGCTCAACAAGCTGTAAGAAATGCTAACAGATTGCAGATGGTCCAGCGGACACTCTCGAGAGTGACTCGAAATTGAGACCGGGACAAAATCCAGTCCTGGGACAAGACTCGCCCGCCAACAAGTAGCCTTCTCTTCCGCTGGATATGCAGTCTGGGCAACCTTTAACCAAACGATGGTGTTTCCTCGGAGCTTCTGGTAGAGTAATGTCGCTGTTGTGGCCCTGACGATCCTGTTAGTCGTACCAAGTGTATCAGTGACGGTCCTCGCACGATGTTTGGATACAACTCATCCGTACAGAAGGATAGCCATTCAGCGCTGCCGATCCAGTGTGGGCTTTGACGGTTCAACAAACTACTGCTTGGATCTGCAGCAGTTGTCGGTGGTTCCTGCCTGCAACACAGCATGTGGTCACACGTCCAGAACTACAAAAAGGGACGAATTCCCCCTGTCTTTGCTGGACTATTCTCTTCTGCGCAGACTCCTTATCCTTTAGCAACGTATTTGTCCGTTGGAGCAGAGCCGTCACCACTCCGTACCCTTCGCTTTCACGGTGCGGCTCGCCTCCACACATCCTCAGAACATCGCGCTGTCGAATACCACCATTTCCTGGGTCCTAAGTCGCATCAAAAATGGACGTTTCTCGCAACGCGTCGGGCACCGATGCCCGCGATAACGACAACAATCTTCCCACCAGTAACGACACGTTGGTTTCGAATGACCATGGCAACCCGGAGAGTGGCCCCAAGAATGGGGATATGGAGCAAGAGAAACAAATCGATCCTATGGCCAGCCGGATCGACGGTGGTGTGGAATACAAGAGCATGGTCTGGTGGCAGGCGGGCATGGTTATGGTGGCTGAAACCATCTCTCTCGGGATTCTCTCTCTGCCGGCTGCGATGGCAACGCTGGGCATCGTCCCGGGTCTTATTCTGCTCGTGCTGCTGGGGGCGATGGCATCGTATACCGGGTTTGTCATCGGACAGTTTAAGAGGCGATACCCTCACATTCACTCGATGGCCTGCGCCGGTGGAGTGTTGTTTGGTAAATGGGGAAACTTCATTCTCGGCTGGGGTCAATTTTTGTTCTATGTCTTTATCATGGGCAGTCACATCTTGACCTTTTCGATAATGATGAACGCCATCACCGACCACGGGGCGTGTACCATTGTCTGGATGGTGCTAGGCACCATTATGAGCCTGATTTTCACATTGCCCCGGACGTTGAAACACCTGTCCTACTACTCGATTGCCAGCTTCGTGAGTATCATCGGTGCGGTCATGATCACCATGGTCGGGGTGTCGATCACGCAGCCGGGGGCGGGCCCAGACGGGGTCCTTCATGTTCGTCTCTGGCCACAACCAGATCTCAGCTTCAGGGACGGGTTCAACGCGGTGTCGAACATGGTCTTTGCGTATGCCGGTCACGTTGCATTCTTCACCTTCATCTCCGAGTTGAGGAACCCACATGACTTTCCCAAAGCCCTCGCGTTTCTGCAATGCAGTGACATTTCCATGTACATCATCACGGCGGTGGTGGTGTATTACTACGCCGGAGACAATGTCGCCAGTCCGGCGTTGGACAGTGCGAGTACTGTGGTCAAGAAGGTTGCGTACGGGGTGGCAATTGTGACGATTGTCATTGCCGGAGTGGTCAACGGGCATGTCGGGGCCAAGTTCCTGTACGTACGACTGCTGCACGACCGAGAGGACGACCTGCTGCACCAGAAGACGTGGAAATCATACGGTGTGTGGTTCGCTATCGTTAGCATATCGTGGCTGGGGGCGTGGGTCATTGCCGAAGCTGTGCCCGTGTTCAACCACCTGTTGGGCTTGACTTCGGCCTTGTTTGCATCTTGGTTCACATTCGGATTGTCGGGCATGTTCTGGATGCACATGAATCTCAACGGCAAATGGAGTTTGGGCAAGGCCTTTTTGTTTCTTCTCAACTGCGTCAATATTCTGGTCGCCGCCATCTTATTCGGGGTGGGAACATACGCCAGCATCTCGGCCATGGTCGAAACCGGGACAACGAATAAGCCATTTTCGTGTGCCAACAATGCAGGCGGGCGTTGATTGATAGGGTTCGTGTATTGTGGGGATATTGGTGGTATTTCCATCGAACTCTTACAGCGCGTTTCTTAGTTATTGATAGGAAAGACCGTGGGTCCTGCCTTTGTTTCTGTTGTGTTTTGGCAACTTTTTTGAGTCTTTCGTTTGCAGCTTTAAGGGGGCAGATGGCAAGTGAGGGCAGTGCCATGGTGCATATTATTTCCTGCCATGTTGGTTCTGGCAGAGGCCAGGAAGGGATGGGACGAACTGGAAGCGAAAAAGGAATGAGGGAGGGAGAAGGTCTAGATAAATACGTAGGGTAGTGTGAACACGAGGATTCTACCCAGTCTGCCAGTGAGGACTTTCTTCTCTTTCGTTCCAGCAGCCTAGCAGACCAGCAACCAGATTATCTACGCACGCTCTTTCTGTCTCTGTCTGTGCCTCTCATCTCATTCACGCCTTTTGGCGTTGCCTTTGCCTGTCCGCAAATAAATTTTTGCAAGGCGGGCAGATACAATGCTGTTTCTCCCCTTCCTCACACAGATGATCGTGTATGTATTCCATTGTCAAATGTCCTTTTTTCCTTTTCCTTGTGGAGTTCTGGAGAAATAATGAGAAGAAGAAGAAGACGACGACGACGTCGACGTGACTCGTTGTGGTGGTGTAATGCCAACTACCTAACAGCGAGGCACGCGAGGCACGCGAGGCTGGTGTAGGTAACTGCCGAAGATTGCACCCGCGTGCGTGGGGAGGTTCTCCAGTACTCGGTACAAGTACGGTGTACAGTGCGAGGGACTTGCAACGGCAGATCATCGGGTCAGGCGGAGGCGGCAGAGCGAAGGCAGCAGAGCGAAGGCGGCGTAGGCGGGCAAGTTTTTCCAAGGCCCAAGGATCTTGTAAAAAGAATCATCCCGCTCAAGATTGCCGATGGGGGGCCAGGCAGGGAGGCTCCAAAGCCAAATGAGAGGGAGAGACGAGAAAGGCCGTCACGGGGCTTGAGATCGGGTTGTCAGGCTCAGGTTCAGGCTTAGGCCTCACCCAAAGAGATTCTTGGAAGGGCCTGGCGAATTGCTGGTGTACGCCGCTGAAAAGAGGTTAAGGAACGTTCCGAAACTTGTGTGTTCCTCCCAAGAAAAATGACTGGATTTACCGGTACACGATTACGATGGATCAAGACGGGGTCGCCCACGGGTGTTGTCTTGTCTCGCGCCAACTGCGGAATTGTCACCTGAGCCACAGAAAAGGCCAACCCGGTATTACGAGGTGCTGAGCAATGGAGAATTTGTAGACTGGAGAAAAATGTAAAAATGCTTTTCCGCCGAGTTGATGCTTGACGGGTGTCGGTATCTCGCCACGGCAGTGCAATGCAATAAGCTGCTCAACTTTCACGGTCACAACTGCACCACCTACAAGTACCTCTATAAGTACGAACGCCTGCGATGGGATGAGATATGTAGATATATAACAACCATCACCGTCAAGATCTGCTGCGTTTGTTTTTGCTTTTGTTTCTACATTGTGTACTACTACTACTACTAACAAATCATCTCCAACCTTTGTATCTTCAGAACACAGATCCCTGCGAAGGGTTATTCACCACCTCTCATCAAAAAGGGATAATAATTCTACTGGGAGCAAACACCTGAAGTTGCGCAGCGAGCGAGTTCGGTACTCTTCACTTTCGCCGGATTGCACGACTTAGGCATTTCAACAAAAGTCCCATTTCGGACCATTCCGAGACCATCTCTGTCCTACTGGTTAAGATCGGAAAATTCCCTCTTGATAGAATCTGTCCCCTATCGAACAAAAACCCCGGAGACGCTGCGGGTGGTGAGCCGTGACACCTGGGGTAATTTATTAATTACGTCATTTGACCCTCCCCCTGAATCTGGACAGCCTTGTTCCTCTACACACCTATTCACAAAAGACCCAAGCCCTGTCGAATAGGCGATCTAAGTGGGATTGGGCAACAAGTCATGGCCAAAGTCAAACTCCACGTCGCCATCATCGGTGCGGGACTCGGGGGATTGGCGGCTGCAATTGCAATTGCTCGAGCTGGTCACAAAGTGACGATTCTGGAACAGGCGCCAGCGTTGGGAGAGGTAAGAGGGACATCTATCCATCTATCCATTCATGAAATAATGCGACAGAGAAGGAAGGGGGAGTGAGGAAAAAAAAAAGAGTGAACTGCTCAACTAACGCCATTCTCATTCCAGGTCGGTGCAGGCATCCAAGTCCCTCCCAACAGCACCCGCATCCTCTCTCGATGGGGCCTTCTCCCGGCCATTGAAAAGGCGTCGGTGCGTCCACAAAACTTCATCCTGCGCTCCTATCGCGACGGCAAGGTCCTGTCCACCCAGCCCTTGATCCCCCACTGCGAATCCGCCTATGGGTACCCGTACCTCCACATCCACCGGGCCGACTACCACCAGATCCTGGTCGAGGAGGCCGAGCGCCAGGGCGTCGAGATCCGGCTGGACAGCTTCGTGACGGGCATCGACTTTGACCTGCCGGCGGCGCACATCAGAGGCCAAGCGCAACCCTTCACGGCGGACCTCATCGTGGGCGCCGACGGGCTCAAGTCGGTCTGTCGCGAGGCGCTGCTGGGCCGTCCGGACCCGCCCCATCTGACGGGCGACCTGGCGTACCGGATCGTGGTGCCCGCCGAGGCCATGAAGGCGCACCCGCTGCTGCGCGACCTCGTGGCCGTGCCCAACATCAACTACTGGCTGGGGCCCGACGCCCACGCCGTCTCGTACCTCCTCAAGGGCGGCAACCTGTACAACATTGTCATCGCCTGCCCGGACAACCTGCCCGAGCTGGTCAACCAGCAAAAGGCCGACCTGGACGAGATGCACGCCCTCTTCGCCGCGTGGGACCCGCAGCTGCGCGCGCTGCTGACCCTGTGCAACGACACCAGCAAGTGGCGCCTCCAGAACTCGCGCGAGATGCCCTCGTGGAGCGACCAGCGCCGCGGCCGCTTCACCCTGCTCGGCGACGCGTGCCACGCCACCTTACCCTACCTCGCCCAGGGCGCCGCGCAGGCCGTCGAGGACGGCGCCGTGCTCGGCCACCTCCTCGAGAGGATCGAGTCGCGCGCCCAGATCCCCGACGTGCTGGGCATCTACGAGGCGGTGCGCAAGCCGCGCGCCACCCGCGTCGTCAATGCCTCCTCCCAGCTCGGCCGCGACGTCTTCCACCTCCACGACGGCCCGCGCCAGCGCGAGCGCGACCGCCAAATGATCGCCTGGCAGGACCGGCCTTTCGAGGGCTACCAGAACCGCTGGCGCGACCCGGTCTTTCAGCCGTTCTTGTTCGGTTACGATTGTCGCGACGTCGTCGATGACGCTTGGGCGAGGTACCAGCAGGGCAGGTTTCCGGGGACCATGGGGAAGTTTGCCCCTCAGGATTGAAAACATTGTCCTTTGATTGGCGCTGCGCACCCGGAAGGGCGCTCGTGGTTTATATATATAGAGAGAGAGAGAGGGAGGAAGTGAGAGAGGGTGTTATGTGAACTATGAAATTCGTGCTTCGTGTTTGGCGCTATGGATCACATGCACTATATGTGGATGTACATGTATGTACATGGTACTTGCGGATGGCATGACATGACATGATACGACATGGCATGGGATAGTATCACAAAGCATCTCATTAGCAAGGTATCGTATGGTATACCAGGGCATTACCAGAGCACAAGTTGACTTGACAAGCTTCCAAGCAGGAGAAGAGAAAAGAAAATTTAAAAAAGTATACATGTCCCAAGAGCCCGTCCAAAGCGGCATAGATAGCACTTGTACAGATACACACACCCACACACACACATGATGGATTTGGGTGTTTATTTGATTTATACATATATGGTATGTAGCTACCAGCTCATCCACCTGCCGGAGCTGTACTCTGGATTCTAGGAGAGAGTCTCGCAAGGCTGAGATACTCGGTTCCACTCTGTATCAACGAGTAGCGCCAGCGCCATCTCCATCTCCATCTCCATCTCGGTCCCAACTCTCGGATCTCAGGTTCACGCGGTTGAGATGGTCTTTGATAGTCAAAGTTCGCGTCTTCCGCTTCTACTTCACTGCGCCGCGGTGGATGGAGATGGTAATGTGTCCCCGCAGGTAACGCCCGCCGTGCACGTCGGTACAGGGCGAGATGCTGCACTGAGGACTATCTAACTGATTGGCCGACACGGTCCAGTGGCGCCCGCCTATCGCCCTTGTCCTTGTCTTCGTCTTCGCTCTGTGTTAGCGCCTTCCTTCTTAGACTCGCTGTCAAGCGGAGAGGGCAGGAGGGGTACCTTTTCGACGCGAATTCCACCAACTCAACTCGAGTCAAAGCCTCTGTTGGAGGCCTTTGGGTTCTTTAACATTCAGTCCCACCCTCCCAATGTCTGCAACGAGATGGATGGCGAGATTGCTATACCATTGACTGACCATAGGATGGGCACAAAAGATATGCTGTGCTGGTAGCCACAAGGTGTCGAGCTTGAAAGACCCCGGTCCGATATGATGACGTCGCAAAGAGGGAGAGTCTCATGTGTGAAGCACTATTCCCCTTTAAGTGTCCACAAATCGTGTGGTAGAGCGGATCCCAGAGGGATGCAGCGGCGTGATATTCTTCGTACATCTCTTCTCCTCGGGCGGTGTAACATTGACTCGGTCAGGCTGCACATCTATACCTGTTTCTTTGTCCGCTATAAGCCTCTCAGCGCGTGTTACCTGAAAGGATTCGAAGTGTGTATCTCCTTCCACAAATGCTGTCCGTCGTCGTCACTCGTGTTGGGAAACCACAGGAAATTCAGCAGTTGGTCCTTCAGACTCTGCCAGCTCAAAATCTGCATCCTGTACACAAGCCGCTCGAGGACGGAGAGGTACCACGTCTTGTCTGCCTCGCTGTGCTGATCGGCCGTGGAGGCCAGCGCGCCCATAAAGGTGATCCACAGCATCAGCGATGTGGCCTTCCGCCATCTCTTACCGTCTTGACTGCTCGACGTGGAAATCAGATACTGCTTGATCCCTGCAGAGAGCTTTGCAAAGGGCGCTCGCACATGAGGAACCGGGAAGACGGCGATGAGGCTGTAGACGACGCCTGCACACCAAGCAGCCTGTCGAAGTGAATAAATCTCGTCTGCTGACGTACTGTCCCTGGAATCCAGGAACAAGGACATCAAGCTATGCTGGACAAAGTTCCTCTGGTCGACTAGTACTAGCATGCTTTGCGATCGCGGTCTACCCATGATATAGTCTTCGACCGCCAGCAAGTATGTCGACAGCTGCCGTAATACCAAGTGGAGTTCTTGAGCCACTTCTGAAGGAAGCAGATCATAGAGCGTCTGGAATCCTACACCGAGCCGAGCTAGAGGATGCCCGATCCTTTTGACTGTGGCCAGGGTATGTTCCGGAGACTCCCCGATTGGCACAAAGGGCAAGGTCGGTTTCTGCAACGATCGTGACGCCAGGATCAGGTCTCCACTAAAATCAGTCAGATGTAAGTAAGCAAGAGTGACAATGCGCATGAGGTGGAGAACAACGGTCATCTTGAGGTGAGCGTTCTTACTAGCTGAGCATCGCTGCCAGACCGGGGATCTCCATGTCATCAATGCCTCCCCGCATGGCCAGCATCTTTGCCAATCCATGGACGTGCATGTTCACGGGATCTAGTCGACCTGCGTAGATATCCAGGCCCTGCATGGCATTCATTGGCCCCTGCGAGGGCACCCGGGGTCGTTCGCTGTCGTCTGCTGCCTTGTCACCATGAAATGCCAGTGCCTGCACGGCAAGAATACTCTCGTCGGAACACCGACTTGAGACATTATTGAATCGTCTATTCACCTCTCGAACCACCAGCGAGTAGCAGTACCATTTCACCCTCTGACTAACTGGGTCGAGGCCAGAAGCCTCGGTGACCGACAGCCTGGCTAATTGGCTGAAGCACAGGGCGTGGAACAAGATGCTGTTACTCATGTACCAAGATATCCAGCGGGGTACCACGCTTTCTTCAATGCGATCTGGTTCCGGGAGAAACATGATGTTGAAGTAGTGGTTAACTGTCAACAGCATGCAAAATTAGATCAAGGGCTTCTGTCGGTCTTTCGATTGTATGTTCGATGCTGCGCACAAGAAAGTGGGTGGTAGATGCGTTGGCTTACCTTGGCTAATAATAGGCGTAGCTATCTCTTTGGGTAGCTTCGATGGGTAGCTTGAAAACGGGTCAATGTCGCCCAACCCTACCGTGCAAAGAGGGTCGGGAATAAGACACGAGGTGAAGATCGTCTGCCTTCTAGTTGGGACAACTAGTTGGCCGCCCGAGGGGCCAGCACGCCCTGGATTGAGGTCCTGGTCCTGTTCGTCGTCTATAAGCGATGCTGGGTCGGTGTTGACTGGATGGGTTTGCTTCGCGCCCGGAGCTGGGTTTGGGCCGAGCAGAGAACCGGTCTCCTGCCTCGACTGCTTGCCTTGCCTGATCCTGGCCCACGATGCGCGCGAAGCGTGGGCTCGGATCAGGGCTTTAGCCTCGCGTCTTGCCTGGTTGGAGTCGGGCCGGGCAGTGACGAATCGCAGTCTAGGTTCAGCTTGGTTCTTTTGTGTGGCTGGGTCGCCTTCCTCGGTCTGGTCTGGCATAATGAAATGGCAGACAGGGTTCGTGCATTGTGGTTGGGCGGAGACCGCTGCTTCCGCAAGTTTGGTTTCAATGGCACTCGGATCGGCGCAAGTCCCACGGGGGCAGTACTAGTAGCCAGTGACCGGACGACTATTAGATGGGATGGGACACAAGGCGATGTGCAGGATCGTGATCGTGATGAAGGCAAGAGAGACGGTTGTGTTTGGAGCAAAAGCAGAATTTCCGAGGCGCAGGCCAGGCACGTGCACAAGCGGCTGACTAACCGGATAGGCTATCCCGTTCTGGCAGTTGGATTTTAGTGTGATGGAGCCTTACTGTAGTCGGCATAATTCCATATTTGTGTAATTGGTATCCACTGCTAAATGCTTTCCCGCACAGGTTCACCCTCTCTATGCCACACGCCCCCCCCTCTGGTTTCATACAGTATTTCAGCCTCACAGACTCTGCGAAACACATTCTATTGCCCTAGTAGCAGCCCTGAAACCCTTTGAAAATTGACCATCGCTCTAAAAATGTACCTCGGAGGTCCGGTATTGCATACTGCTGGTGGGCAGCCTCTTTACTCTTCTAGTTCACCTTCCAGGACAGTGGCAGAATTTCAGAACGGCTGTTATACTTGATCCTTAGTCACCCAACCCTCTGACCACTCGAGCACCACTTTGTCAGTTTTCACCGGGCGCTAGGAGCATATCTAACAGAAACTCTCAACACACTTCCTGCGAGGTTATTTATTCTCCGAGACCCATACCCGGGAAGGCTTTGAAGACAATAGACATCACATCCGACAAAGATTCAGGCAAAATCTATAGCCATAGTTGTCACATCGCAGTCATGAGCAACGCTACGAATCCTGGTGAGTTGTTGCCCTTCACCTCCATTCACACTCACGTTCCGGCTTCGCGTGAGGGAATGAATGAGATACTGACAAGAATCACCCCATCTAGACGATTCTCGCCAGCCTGCCACGCAGAATCCCTCAGATCCTTCGCGAGCTGAAGGCAGGATACCCACATCCTCTGACAGCGACAATTTGCCAGGAGCAATGCAGATGGGCGAGACAGCAGAGATGAGAGAGGTATGGAAACACGACCCGAGATGTTGTCACACTGCCCGTAAACTCATGCCTTCTTCTCCTTTCTTTCCCATAGCGTCGAAGGGCACAGAATCGAATCGCCCAACAGGCATTCCGCGCAAGGCAGAAGATCAGGGTAGAGGCGCTGGAAGCCGAATGGACCCAACTCCGACAACTGCACGAGGCTCTGAATCGCGCCTGCTCGCAACAGGCCAAGGAAATCAAACAGCTGGAAGCGCGCGTCGAGGAGCTCCTCCGCAGCATCGAACTCCTCAAGAACTCGCGCGACGCCGAGAGGACTTGGTCCTCGTCCCCGACGACGCCCGAGCACCAGTACCCTCAGACGAGTGCCATAACCGCGGCAGAGGCTGAACTGCGGAATTTCTTCTGCGACGGCGGCGGAACCTCAGAGTTTCCCGACTTTCCCGAGACGTTCAGATCGTATTACACGGGCTATGGTGGAACTTGATCTGGCCGCCTCGCCTTGGAAGATGGAAAAAAGAAGGGGAGAGCGGTGGAAGAATGGAATGCTCTACACGACTGACTGTCTTTTTTTCTTTTGAAAACATATATCGCAGACCCATCAATTGGCGTTCATTATGTGCTCCGTGGTGGTTGGGATCACCCCTTCATTTTACTCTTCATGTGAACCATTTGACATTGACACTCCATCTACCCGGGCGGAAACAATAGCTGTATTACGTGGGCATGATGGACCTGTTTCCTTCTCGCTCTCATTTCAAAAGATGTCATATCTCGTCTGGCACATTGACTCCCACCTGAACGGCCTTCCAAACATCGAGACCGTCAAGATCGCTCGTGCGCGGATGCCACAGGAACGACTGCAACAAGCCCTTCAGATCCTGCCATCCGGCCATGTCGAAGTCGTCGTCCAACACTTCCATGATCCGGAGAAGGAACCACGGCCGGTCAGGCAACCCAATCGACCCGATGGCCCCCATGGTGAGAGTCCACAGATGCAACTTCCGTCGCGGGCGGCCAAAGCTCTTCCACTCGGTCGTCTGCAGAGCGCTCTTGAGCCGGTCGATCAAGGTTTCAAAGGGGCCCACAACAGGTGGGACGGGGAAGACGACGAGGAAGGAGTAAATGATGCAGGCCAGCCGGCAGGTTTCGTACTGGGAATCGTCCAGCGCGACGTCCGTGGGTTTCGGGGCGAGGAGTTCCTCCGCGGAGGGCAGGGACATCAAGCTGTGCTGGACATAGTTTCTCTGGTCGATGATAACGGGAGACGTGCGCGGCACCCACCTGCCACTCGCGTGGTTCTCGACCACCACGGTGAAGTCGCATATATCCTGAATGACGGCCAGAAGATCATCGATGTAGCTCGGCGTGGATGACCCCGCGCTCCAGACGTGCCGGAAGCTCGTGCCCAGCTGGCCCAGGTCGCCAGCAACGGCGTCGCGCTCGTAGCTCGTGACCGACAGCCGGCCATCTTCGCGGACGAACGTGGCTGTGTGGGATATAAATGGAAAGATGGGCCGCCCAATATTCCGGCATGCGCCCATGATCCCACATCTATAGGTTCGGTAGCATGATAAGTCAGCAATTGGGACGCTTCGGCTAGGCCGTTCCTAGTTTTTCAGGCAAACTGTGCGGATTGTGGGTATGTGGGGATGGATGGTCGGGGGGGTTGTCGCACCGGGCACGAAAAGGGGGCCGGCTTACAAAGATACCACGGTAGCAATCCCGTGTGTCTTGATCTTGGACAAAGGCCCGAGGAGCTCCATCATTTTGATGAGGCCAAGCACATGCTCAATGACGATCTCCATCTTCAGATAGATATGGATCGACTGCAGCTCTCTCAAAAAGGACTGTCGCGGGTAGCTCTGGCCCCTTCTGATTCTGTCCTCGCGACCCGAATATGCAAGCACCAGGACGGCCCAGATGTTGGAGTCCGACAGGGCTCGTTCGGGGTTTGGATCGCTGATTTCACGATTCAGGTGTCGAATAGCTTCTGTACCGACCAGTAGCTCCGTCGTGTTTGGCTCACTGATTCCCTGCTGGATACGGTCATGCACCATCACCGCGAACATCATAGCGTGCAGCTGTGCCGGCTGCTGCGATAGCGAGGCCATCATAGTACTCGCAAAGGACCTTCCATAGTTCCCGGTCAAGCCGGCATTGGATACCAGCTTCGCGAGCACATTGGGGACTGGATATGTGTGCTAGTCAGTATCGAAGAAACTATCCAATCTCTATTCGAAAAAATCAAGGGTGGGCTCGGGATTACTGACGGCTATGCATGTATCGTTTGACCACGCCATTCGGCACTGCTGATGGGAGAAGAGAATACGGTTCGTCGGCATCGGGCTCCAACAACGGTGCTGGATTAGGAGGGTACTTCACCACAGCCAGAGCCTCGTGATGTTCTTGTTTCCTAGGAACCGCCTTCTTCGTCCCAGATATCCGGACCTTCCCCCGCCCGACGTGTAGCTTTCGCGGGGTTGTAGCAGCCGGTGCTCCAGATGTTCTGGATGTCAATGCGTCTTGTCGTCCATCTCGAGACTGTCCCGGACAGTCCTGCTGGTCCTGTTCGTCGTCCTTTGTGTCGTATCCGGCTCCCGTCCGCTCTTCTGGAGGGCCGGATTGGGCGCGGAAAGTGACCGAGTCTTCCCAGTGGCCGGGCTGGAGTTGAGTTTGACGCATCTTAAAGAGTTGCCTTTTTCAGAAGTGAAGCCATCGTTGATGATGTGTACATGCAGGGAGATCAAGGTCACGAAGCAAGAGTCCACCTTTGCTTGTTTGCATGGAGAGATGGGATGGCTCTTGGTCGACAATATCTGAAGCGTCGTTGACTAAGATTTTGGGGGCCATACCAAGTGGGGCATCAACGAAGCTGATTGGGCGAGAGGTTTTTTCCCTCATTGGGATTAGTGGCAAAATCCAACTTCCTCTTGAAGCAATTCCGCATGAGCGCCTGGGCGGTGGATACCGCAATTCTCCCGACTATATGAGTACTTACCAAGTGGTATAAGGGTACCATTGGCTTGGGAAAGTTAGGCAAGATCACGGTTGCGGTCTAGAACCAGTTGATACCCTTTGCCTTAAAGGAAACGTCCCAGATACAAGCTCCGTTTCCATTCGAAACTGACCGCCCCATTACTCGCTTGTCTATCTAGAGTGCATACAATCGGACAAACGCCTCTCTAAGCGACCTGCAACCTATACTATGCAAGGAGATGACGTTTCTCTTCTGGCTCTTTGCTCACAGAAATATCCTTCAACTGATGTCCGCAGCCTTCACATGGTATTTCATGGAACACCGGTCTCACGTGCTGCACCCTTGGCCAGCTCTTCACCATTGATACTTCTTCGATTTCACTGTGGGCTCTGTGTGAGAATATCGAGGTATGTGATTCGCCGAGTCCGGAAGAAACCGTTGTGATCCTGTTTGAGGCAGTTCCACGACTCTTCCCGTGGTGTATGGTTGCGTATATTCAATGGGAAGCATCATACCCGCCGCTGGGGCTGGTAAGAAGACTTGGGGTTGTGAGGGGATGTGACTGTTATGGTTGACATGACTGATAGGAAATCCACTGTTGTATGAGGTAGTTTGAGTTATGAAAGTGCCCGACGATCGAGCCTCTGGACCATGCCCAACGGACACAAACCAGCCATTTGGACTTGTGAAAGTGGACTGTCGACCCATTGTTTGATGCGATATTGCAAGCGTATGGGTATTTGGATGGGGGTAGGCAGGTTGAGTGACCGGACCGCTCGAATGTGAGCCACCGTAGCCATTATTTTGCTGACATGTGTCAATAGAAGAGATCAAAATCGGTAGGTCCCAGAAAATGGCATACCTGAACCATCTGCATCATCTTGCGATTTTGCTTGTCATCTTTGCGACCCTTGTATACAGCCTGACCGAGTTGTGTTAGTGCAACAGCAACCCCAACCCCGCCGATGGCGAGAGTGACTGGATCGGCCATGTGGGTTGGATGGTGACAGTGGGATCTTGGTACGAAGATCTTCAGATCGACAAAGCGTGCAAGTCTTGACAGAGTAAGAGACAAAAAGAGGTGGGCCAAACCTCTCTTATGGCTCTGAGGTTGTCAGGCTCAGGCAGGCGAAGCTTTTGTGACAAATCTTGACAGGATGAGGCAGTGGACGCCTTCGGAAGCCTGATGGGTTTCTTCGATTGGCTGCCTTTGTCTCAGGCTGGCACTTTTGGAACCCGTCAACACGAACTCGAACAGCTGCTGGAAGACCGGGCGCCGTTCAGCCCTGGAATCCGACGGTTGAGGTCAAGTCGGTCTCGGCACATCGACCTTGATAGGTCCAAATCAGCCACCGATGCACCATGTCACAAGAGATGATAGGACCATCAGAAGCCACGAGGCAGTGAGACCCTTTACACTTTCATGCAGGATGCAGCCGGGAAAAGCAAGGTGCAGGGACTAGTGAGTCGCCGGGTTGGCAATCTCCTTCAGCCTCAGCTGGGTCTCTGCCATTCCGCAATATTAACCTGCGGTGATCCTGCAACTTCGCACCACAAAGGCGGCGCTTGGATTGCCCCCTCTCGTCTCTGAGCACGACAATCGAAAACACAGTTGAAGCAATGCCAAATGGGATCCTAAGTCCTCCGCGTCGTGCCCGATATCAGCCAATCTATTCAGGTTTGTGGTTCAACTTTCGCATCACGGCATCAGGCTAATAACTCGAGAAGGAGGAGGCAATAACCCAGCCTACTATGGTTCCAGCGGAGAAGCCCTTGTAGCCCTGGACCCCAACGGGAATGGTGCTTTTGTTGCTGCCGGTAACGGTCAAGACCACGCATATGTCTATCTTCCAGCACAACAGCACGTGGTCGACCGTCCATATCCCGTGCAGGTGAACCGGCCGATTCACAAGAGAAGGAGCAGATTATGCATATGTCTGTTGATCATGGTAGTGCTGGTCTGTGTTGGGTCCCTGGGAGTGGTGCTTGCCGTTCACTACATCAAGAAGAACTCTGCAAAGTCCTCAGATTCCACGTACTACTAGCATGGCCGCCGTTATTGGCTCATCGAGACTGTGAATTACCAGATATCAGGAGGCATCTTTCGCACATTGGCAAAGGGGGGAAGAGGCGTTCGGGTCTTCGTCAAGGGTTTTGTCAGGTCAGGGTGTCAGCTGCGGCGCGGATGTTTCGCTATATAGAGGGGACTGGATGGGAGTCGCACAATGCAAAAGAGTCAACACCACCTCTTCATCTCTGGGAGCTAGTATGTTTTCAAAGATCTCCTCTCCAATATGGGCAGCTGAGTCTGGAGGATCGCAAGCGATTCTCATGGTCGTCTTGGGGTAGGATAACCCGCCTGTCCGGGTTGATTAGGAGCCCCACCAAATCTGATGCCCATGTCCGGTGTCCAGATTCCTCCACCACCAATCGTGCCTCCCGCAACACCGACTGGTAAAGGCGAAGTGGAGGGCATTACACCTCCAGGGGGCGGATTCCTTGTTGGCACCGGTGCCGTCAGTGCTTCTTGGGTTTCGGCAGGGGGCTGTTGCTGTGGACGGCTTCTCGTTTGCGGTGCAGTATTCTGGCTCCGCAATTCCCTTCGCGTCTCCTGGAGATTGAGCCTGCCCATGTCTTGTCCAGCAAGCTCCGCCTCAAGCTGACTGGCTTCAATCCTGCGTTCAGAGACTTGTGCCTTACAATTGTCTCGGAAACGTGTCACATGAACGGCAAGGTCGTTGTAGAACTTTCTGCCGGTGTCCAAGTTGCTCATGAGCTCCTTATATTTGGCGTATCCTGTGTCCAGCATCTGGAGAGCCTTCTGACGATCTTTGGTGCTGGTGTCACCCCGTCGGGCATCCGAGAATGCCTTGTTGGCTTCGCGCAGGCGAGCCACAATTTGGTCTTGTTCTTCTTGTTCAGCGATGAGAGCTTCGCGATCAGGCTCGTAAGCCTGCAGCCGTGCTTCGAACAGCTTTTCAAACTGTCCTGGTTCGATCTTCTGCATGGGATACTCCCGCTCCAGGCGAGCTGCTTCAGCGAGCAAAGCCGGTCCAATATCGTCGGATTTCGCTTTCTCTCTCAAAGCTGCAATGCGATTTTTCCGCCGAGTCTCCAAGCGGGAAACTTCGTTCAGGCATGTTCGTAATCGAGAGGCGGCTTGCTCGATGGCTGGTGTCATAGTAACTTGACTGGACGAGGGGACAAATCGCTCAAGATCACGGTTCGTGCCTGTCAAGATCTTGAGGATGTGCTCGTTCTCCCGAAATTTTGCCTGCACCAAGTTGTCACTCGAAGCGGCCGAGTTCAGGTATGTCTGAAGCTCCTTTGAAGTCTGATATAATTTGGCCAAAGCTGTGGTAGAGGGTTGACGTGCCCATCTATCCGTGCCGTATTTTGCTCGAGCTCGCTCATCCTCGGTTTTCTCGGCCTCCAGCAATGCAACGCCTTCCTGATAGATCGCAAGATCATTCGTTTTCAATTTGGTTGTGTCCTCCATCGACCTCTTGATCCTATACAGCGCGTCCTGCTGTCGAAGCTCCTCAGCTTTCGAAACGAGACTGCCAGGCAAGCCGAGCGGTTTTTCGAGGGCCTGTAATGACCCGGGCAAATCGAGCGATTGCAGTATCTCTCTCAGCCTAGCTGTCATGGCTTCGAGATCAACAATGATGGACTGGTTGACAAGACGATCGCGCCGATCGGCGTATATGGACGCAGCCTGATGGACAGCATAGGGAACAAGCTTTTCGAATAATGGCCTTCCAAAAGGTTTGCCTTCACCGAGCAGAGAAATGCCATTGACAATATCTGCAGGTGTTTTTGCAGCGACCATATTTGTTCGATCCAATAGTCTCAACTCTGATTTGGGCGTTGGTGTTTGCAGGTAGATCAGATCATTGTCCTTTTCAGCTCTCTTCAGCTCCTCAGTGACTTTGGACTTGAGTCCATTCAAATCCCCGGCTACTGTAGCATTGATGTATCGGGCCTCTTGAAGCCCTTCATTCACGCAGGTGAGACTATCCTTGAGCCTGGCAATCTCTTCTCCATACTGCTTGGTTTGCAGACAATATCGAGATTGTCGAAACTGCGCGGCAGCAGCAAAGTGGTGATGTTTCGCTTGGAAATGATGTATCCATTCCGCGCTCACAGCCCGGGACTGGCGTGCGGCATCAGCTGCAGAGATGTAGTAATCCGAGACCTTGGCTGCAAGTTTTGCTACCGTGCCGTCCGACATGGTCCTTTTGATTGCTATCTGCCAGAACGATTCCTGACCTTGTGCCAAACACAGTTGTTGCAGGCTGTCCAAAGTTATATCATCCATATCCTCCGGTGGGGTTGAGCGCATGTCAGGGAGGATGTCGGTCCGTATGAAGGCGAAGGTGCCGGCGGCAGCAATACTATACTCGGCAGCGGATTTGAGGCCATCTATCGTCGCTCGGTTCGTCCCATACGCCAGTTGTGAATATAATGCCGCAAGATTGAAGAGTATATTTGCCAGCTCGAACCGTAGATTGTTTTGTAGCACGGGCTTGTCTCGATCGTAGCCTATCGCGGGGTACCACGGGAAATCGACACCAACATCGATGGGGAATTTCCCGCCCAGATAGCGTAGCTGAGCAGCATATATCTGTAGGCGTTTGATACCGCTGACATGAGGTTCGCGGACATTGATGGCGTCGTTGCGTAAACGATCAATGTCTCGCAG